GACAGTTAGTGCAGATAGCCCTCGTGTAGCTTTGTGCAAAATTCAAACCAAACCAAATCAATCTCTGATATTGTTTCTAGGTTCTATAGAAGATGGTATTGTAGTATCATTGCTTCATAACATTGTACTGTCCAAGTTATATTGGTTGTATTTGAGATGATAATGTATTATCATTACCTCAAAACATTGAATTATTAATGCAAAGAAACGTAAAAAAGACTTAATGTTTTTAAAAAATTTTACTTTTAACTGGCTTTATGTGGTTGTCCAAAAAGAAGAATGCATAGATTAGCATTTTATCTATACTTTTTTTTGCTTGTAGGCATCCTCTAATGAGGATTTTACTCAATACCATAATTCTTCCAGCAGGCTGAGCTACAGTATTCCATCTTAGGTGAAACATTACTTAAATAATTTGTTTATGAGAGACTCGGTTATATTATGTAAATATCTGTTATAAATAACATCTTTATGTGTGTGTGTGTGTGTGTGTGTGTGTGTGTTATTATGTTAAAGGCCTGGTTATCCCTGCTGGTGAACAAAAGGGCCTTATTGGCAGTTGTGTAAAACAGAAAAGTTAATTAAAATGGACTTGTTTGTTTGTTATTACACACAAAGCTGCACAATGGACCATCTGTGCTGTGCCAACCGTGTGTATCGAAACCAGGTTTTTAATATTATTAACTGTCAGACTTACCTCTGAGCCACTGGAGGGCTAATATAAATTTATAAATTGCTTCAGATCAGTTAAGATAAAAACATTATTATTTTTGAAAGTATAAACATACTTCCCAAGCTTCAGCCGTATAAATAAGACAACTTATTAATAAACCGCAGAGCTAATCCTCCTACCCATGGAAGATTTGTTTCTGATCATACATCCTGTGTAACCAGTCCAACAACAACAAAGAAAACCCACCAAAGGTCTCATTCAGATGCAACAGGTTTGTTTACTTTTCTCTGCTAATTTTTTTTTTCCTTTATCTAAATTCAACTTCTCATCTTAGATAAAGTGAAATAGTAGTATGTGCGTAATAGTAATGGTTTTCTGGATCCTATAAGTCATTCTTGTTTCTTTTAATTATGATGCTGTATTTGGACCATTTGAACTGATGTTATGTATTATTTTTATTATTATTCATGAAGGATTAAGACCAGGAGGAAATAATGTTGGACAAGTATCTGGTCACCTCACTCCAAAAGTAAAATGGGTATTAGGAGATTTGTCCTCAGGTCAAGCCTTCAATGGCAAATGTATTTGCTTTGATAGCTGTAAAGGTTTGTGCAGTGAACTAAAAGGACAAAGGATTCAATGTCATTGCCAGGTTTGGATTTAGTGACTTTTGTGTAAACAGTTTAATTCTGATAGTTTTGTTTTGAGTTTACTTACTCATTATATATATTTTATTACAAATTACAGGTTTTACAATAAGGAAGTTTATTTTTCAGAAAGGATACGATGTCTCAATCACTGGTGCAATCATTTTCAAGTACACAGGTTGTGTACTTGAGAATGATCGCACCAGTGATCAAAATGTCATATACCTGTTATAAAAAATAATCTTCTTTATTGTAAAAGCTGTAACTTGTAATAAAATTTAACTTTAAGCTGTTTATATCATGATTTCTTATATTCCCTACATTTTATGCCTTTCTTCTAGTGTTAACTACTGTTGAAAGTACAGTTTTATTTATGATATTTTTTTTGTTCATTATTTAGTTTGTGTATTAACTTCTCTTTCGTGTAGATTATTTGAATAGTGCATTTGCATACATTTATTTATATTATTTCAATGCGATCTGGAAAATATAATTGACCATTGAACTAAGTGTAAGTCGATTCATTGATTTTATTTAAAGCATGTTTTACAAATGCTTTTGTACTAATTTTATATTTTGTTTCCTTGATTTAAAACATATATATCTGAAAATATACTTTTTCACATGAGAAGCTTGTTTCTAAACAGACATAACCCTCTTTTTTTTTATATGGTGCTACTGTTTTTTTATGTATGATGACTTGAAAACAAATTGGAATTGATATGGTAACACTAAGTAGTATCAAGCTGTTTTGTTAATAGATTGTTGTTGGTGTGTTGCTATAGGCATCACGGTTAGCTCCTGAAAATGAATTTGTTAAATCGCTGATTTCCATTGGTCTACGTTTGAAAGCACTACCCACAAAGGAATTGAAAAGTAAGTTATTTTTAAAACAGGAAGTATATGAATACTGTAGTTTTTAGTCTTATGAGGTCATATGCCTTTTAACTTTCTGCATTCAGCATTGTATTTCAATGAGTATTTTTATTTTTGATCCAATAACGTCAAGATCACCAATTTAGAAAAATGTATTAATGTCAACTTTCTTTGGCCATTGCATCCAGTGGTCCAGCAGAAGTCTGGGGGTTCATATTGCTAAAAACTGGGTTTCAATACTTGTGATGGGCACAGCACAGATAACCCATTGTGTAGCTTTATGCTTAACAACAAAAAACAAAGCTTTGGCCATTTTTTTATGTTATACATAAGACAGGGCTAAAGGCTATTAGTTTAAAATATGCACCAATCTTACTCTTTGTTGTGCATCAAATATTACCTAACACTACTGTATTGTATTAACAAGGTTGTTATGGAAGTTGAATATTATTAAATGTTCTCATGGTACCAAAGATCGTAGCAAAAGTGACAGTTTTGGCTTGGATTTACTTAGCCAAATATAAATTTACAAACTAAAAATGGCATTTTCTAATATTATGTAACTTTTAAGATGATACACCATGTTTTTTGTCAGTGATAAAACTATTCCATGTGCATTATTATTGATACAGTTCATTCGAACGATCATGAGTAAGAACTGTATATTAAATTATCTATACTCGTTCCTGGGTTAATTTTTAGTTCTTACTATATAGCTAGCTAACTTTGTTCAGAAGGTAATATTAATTCAACTTTCTGCAGAGCTAATATGAAGTATATGTAAGTTTTCTAAAAAAATCAGAAATGGACAATGTGGAATTCGAACCTGTGTCTCTGCTTTCTGCATGGGCTAAGTGAGGCCCAGTGGCTAGATTGTGAGGTTGTGCATCTGAGAATCGGTGGCTTGCTTTTCCTCCATTCTATCACTTCAAAATTAAGGACAGTTATCGTAGATAGATCCCGTGTGATTTTGTGGAAAATCCAACAAAGGTTTCATGATGGATAATCTAACCAGCTAAAATGTCAGGTTCAATGCTTTTTTGTTGTACTTTTTATTATGGAAATAGGCAGGAATCACAAGCTATGTTAGTAAATTTTCAGAGGTTCAAATTCATGTATTACTGTAACTATATACTTTGGTGGGATATTTAAAGATTGATTTTTTTAATTAATTAAATGTTACTTTTCGAACTCTGTATTTTGTAATTGTAATCTTTTTAAAGAAGTGAAAACTGAAACTTAAAGGAATTTCAGCCTTCCTAGTAAGTCAATAAAGTGATGATTGAGACTTTATTTTTCCAGCCCATTGTTTTTGTTGGTTAGAGCACCTGACCAACAGGTAGAGACACAGGTTTGAATCTCTCTAAGTTAGGATTTTCACTTCATTAGAAAACTTGTGTAAAATGATGTGCCACTAATAACACTTTCTAATCAAGTTTAAGTCATTGCTAGTATGTATCAAAATAATAAAACTTTCTGTTTTAGCCCAGCAACTTCAGGCAGAACTCTCCTTATTAAATATCAACCTTCCAGCAAGAGTCTGGCTACCTATCCACTCATCCAGCCTTTCACACCTGGTCGTCCGGGTCCCACCTCAAGCTGCTGTCGTGCTCAACTCTAAAGATAAGGTGTGCTGGAGGTTATTGTTAAATATTTGTGTTTTTATCCAGAATTAAAGGTGGTTGTAGATTAATTTAATCAGTTTCTTGCTGTGATCACCTATTCTTTAGCTGACTGAGAAAGAGATCACATTTTCGTCTGTAATCCATGTAAATTAAAGTTGTATCTCACGTTGGTAAATTTTGAAATAAGATACATTTTTAAAATAGTTATTTTTTTATAGATCAAATTGTCTGGTATCTTTTTGAAATTTTCTTTCTTCCTATGGTGATGTTTTATGGGAACAGCTTTTGAGCTTGATATAAGTTAATGCTTTCGAACAACATTATCTATATCAACATCCCCATTTTTACATTGAAAAGGCTCCCTACATTATTTACGTCGAAGTGACTGAGGTTGAGAACATGGAGACAAGTCCTATACCATCTAAATTTGTGAACACGCTACGCCAAACTCGCTCAGAAGAAAATTTGTTAGACTACTGCAGTCATCAGGATGTCTCTCCCAATTCATTTTCTGTTTATCCAAATGTTGATAATGATGGTGAATGCTGGAGCCTAGAAGATGATGATGTTTCTGCTCAGGTATGTTTAATACTTGCTTCTACGTGTTATGGAAGGTGTTCGTCAGTGCTATATACTTTCCCTATACTAAAGTATGCAATGCATCTCTAGACATTATGTTCTTGATTTTCGTTTATTGTGCAATGTTAATTTTTATGGCTAAATCGATTTCTTGCTTACGGTTGAAATCTACTATGTTAAAAAGAAGAAAAATGTTAGATTATTTATAATTATAGCAAGGATAATTTTATTATGCAATTTCACAGACAAATGACATTTAAGTATATAGATTGATGATATATGAATTATTAAAATCAACATGATTGTCGAATAACAGTGATAGAGATTGGAAAAGTTTCTTTGAATTTTCTTCTTTTGGAAAGATTAACGTAGGAGTTCAGTACAACACGTGTCACAATTCCTGATATCAAAATGTCTAAAAAAAAACTTTTTTGTAATATGCATAATGTGTCACATAGTTTTAATCAAAATACTTCAAGTGTTGCATGGTTTAAAGAACACTACCTTTATAGTTACAGTACCTGAGGTGTCACAAAACTAGAGACAGAGATACACTCTCCCAGTTCTCTCAAGACAGTGGTACTAGTGCAGACAGGGATCCTGTTTTTATAGGTGCTGGAGACATTAGACGGCGACTTTCAGAAATTTTTAACATTCCAAAGACTACATTCAAGGTAAGGAATGACCTTTTGTGTATGTACGTGACATATGTATTGTCGATTCATTGTATGTGGCGTGAATTAAATATTTTTTGCCATTGAAACTGATGACTGTAACTTTTAGTGTTCCGTCCATGTTTACAGAGAGATCCAGAAGATCCTTCTGCAGCTGCTCTTAAGGAACCCTGGGAGGACAAGATTAAAAGAGTTCGGGAATCTTCACCGTATACTCACCTGCCTGGGTGGCAGCTTTTGGCAGTCATCGTTAAGTGTGGTGATGACTTGAGGCAAGAACTGATGGCGTATCAAATCCTGGCTACTCTTCAGGTAGTGATAAGCTGACTACTGGTTATATAACAACCATGTGTTATGTCAATTCATCATTTGTTTATGAATATTGAAAGATTTTCTCACAGTTATTTTTCTTTCTCACCAGAAAATATGGGAACAGGAAAGGGTACCACTGTGGATCCGTCCTTATCATATCCAGGTAACATCGTCAGACAGTGGCATGATTGAACCTATTCTAAATACTGTATCACTTCATCAGATCAAGAAACAAAGCAAGATGTCACTTTTGGACTATTTTCTTCAAGAATTTGGCCCTCCAACTTCAGAAGCATTTCTATCGTCTCAGAAAAATTTTGTACAGAGTTGTGCTGCGTATTGTCTTCTATCTTACCTGGTTCAGGTGAAAGACAGGTATGTAGAATAATAACTTAGTAACTGGTTAATTCGTTACCCTAATTCAGATGAAGGTTTCGTGAGTAGATCAGTTGGGTCTGAAAATAAGGGTGTTTATTTAGAACTGATTAATTCATTAAACCTTAGTCAGGATACGAATGCAGAACAAGATCTTATACCTCTTGTCGTCTGAATCAAGTGTGAAAAGACAGGTATATAAAAGACTTTTCAATCCTGTTGTAGATGTACAGTTTGTAGAATCATTATCTGGGAGTGATTAACTTATACTTTATTCAGCTAAAAGACAGGTAGAACAAAAACATAATAACTGAAAACAAACATGATTCCCAATCTATCATTTGATTCGCCACTTGTCATTGAGTTACACCAGTTTTGGGGAAATCCACCCCTCATCAGTAGCCTGGGACTAGGACGAATCGAAAGAACCAGACTTGGCTTCTTATAGTGGTGGATTGCATATTATATGCATTGTTTTTGGTTATATTTTACTTACCCCAGTAAAACTATATTTGTATAGGATTTGCAAAGTATGTTGCATTAGTGATGCTAACGTATTCTTCCAAATTATTTAGCAGACAAGTTGTTTAAGATACCAAGTACGAAGCCCAATCTATTATTACATTCGCCACTTTTCACTGAATTATAATGGTTTCAAGGAATTCTACCCTTCCTCAATGTCCTCAAATGCAAATGTAGGTTCACTGTGGCAACTTAAAATACCATACATAAAATCTTGGAACTAGTTAACTGATCACAAAAGATTCGGATGTACAAATGAGTATATAACTAGGTTGTACAGGGTTTGCACGCACCTTGATAACCCTTGAATTTTGTCCGATTGGCTCCTTGCTCTTGAAAATAAACAGTGACAGTTGAATATGTTCAGGATCCCTCAAATTGAAAATGTCTTAGTTTTGGAAGCATAACTGTGCTAAAAACATATTTGGAAAACTTCATTATTTCATCGTTGTCAGTTAATTTGTACTACCACTGCATGATCTTCCTTGGATTTCTGTTCTCCACCATTTGCATTGTATTCACTGCTTGTTTGAGTTGATTAACAGTCAATCGCTATGACTGGAAAGTCTACTTTCAGTGATAAAAAATAGTTTAAGTCATTACTGATGAAAGATAGCAACAATCTGAGGAATTTTTTATTTCCTCTAAACAGTTCGCCCCTCGACGTGGATTCCTGTACGTGGTGAGGGGACCTCCCAGGGAAAGTTCTGTA